AACTTTAAAAATTGAACATGCCTTTCACTAGTTGGGGTTGAGAGTTTATTTTTTGCCTCTCTCTTAGCCCATGTAAAGAAAATAGACCAGTCAGCTTTACCTTTAGGGTCTCAAAGCCTAGCACAATGCTGCAATGAGACTGGCAGGAGAATGTTCATTTGCTTTAAAAAATGGTGTACACTTGAATTGCAAAAAAAAAAAAAAAAAAATGAGACATTTTTATAGGTTTGCCTAGTTGTCAAAACTTATTTTTATAAAACCTAAATGCAAGGCCAAATCTGACCTCTGCCAATGTTCCTTTAAAAGAAGGTGTGACTAAACATCATATGCATGTCTGGCACATACACTTACTCTGTTCCATTTTATTTCAGATCATTAACTATGGTGGACAAGGGGGGAATCCAGTGGATATAGTGTATTGAGATTTTCAAAAAGCCTTCGACAAGGTCCCTCACCAACAGCTCTTAAGCAAAGTAAGCAGTCATGGGATAAGAGGGAAGGTTCTCTCTTGGACTGGTAACTGCTTAAAAGATAGGAAACAAAGGGTAGGAATAAATGGTCAGTTTTCAGAATGGAGAGAGGTAAATAGTGGTGTCCCCCAGGGGTCTGTACTGGGCCCAGTCCTATTCAACATATTCATAAATGATCTTGAAAAAGGTGTAAATAGTGAGGTGGCAAATTTTGCAGATGATACAAAACTGCTCAAGATAGTTAAGTCCCAGTCAGACTGTGAAGAGCTACAAAAGGATCTCACAAAACTGGGTGACTGGGCAACAAAATGGCAGATGAAATTCAATGTTGATAAATGCAAAGTAATGCACATTGGAAAACATAATCCCAACTATACATATAAAATGATGGGGTCTAAATTAGCTGTTACCACTCAAGAAAGATTTTGGAGTCATTGTGGGTAGTTCTCTGAAAACATCCACTCAATGTGCAGCGGCAGTCAAAAAAGCAAACAATGTTGGCAATCATTAAGAAAGGGATAGATAATAAGACACAAAATATCATATTGCCTCTATATAAATCCATGGTACACCCACATCTTGAAAACTGTGTGCAGATGTGGTCGCCCCATCTCAAAAAAGATATATTGGAATTGGAAAAGGTTCAGAAAAGGGCAACAAAAATTATTAGGGGTATGGAACGGCTTCCATATGATGAGAGATTAACAAGACTGGGACTTTTCAGCTTGGAAAAAAGATGACTAAGGGGGAATATGATAGAGGTCTATAAAATCATGACTGGTGTGGAGAAAGTAAATAAGGAAGTGTTATTTACTCCTTCTCATAAAACAAGAACTAGAGGTCACCAAATGAAATTAATAGGCAGCAGTTTTAAAACAAACAAAAGGAAGTATTTTTTCACACAACGCACAGTCAACCTGTGGAACTTCTTGCCAGAGGATGTTGTAAAGGCCAAAACTATAACAGGGTTCAAAAAAGAACTAGATAAATTCATGGAGGATAGGTCCATCAATGGCTATTAGCCAGGATGGGCAGGGATGGTGTCCCTAGCCTCTGTTTGCCAGAAGCCAGGAATGAGCAACAGAGGATGGATCACTTGATGATTAACTGTTCTGTTCATTTCCTCTGGGGCACCTAGCATTGGCCACTGTTGGAAGACAGGTTACTGGGATAGATGGACCTTTGGTCTGACCCAGTATGGCTATTCTTATGGTGAAATTCACCCCCAGGCAGAGAGCCAGCACAAAACATTTGTACCACTTAAGCCCTCTGTGAGGTTTTAGGGTAGTACGGGGACTATTATGAACATCCATGTCTGATCTCCTGCATAATGCAGGCCACAGAACCTCATCCAATGATTCCTGCATCAAGGCTACCTCTAATGCCTGACTGTGGCACATTATTTTCATACTAGCTGGTGGCTGGAGGGTTTTTTTCAAACCAGTCATGTGAACTTTGAACTGTCAGGATTTCCAATATTTTTGTGTTTTGAGGAAACAATGTTCCCTTAAGGATTTTTCCCTGAAGTGACTGAGAGATATTGAAAACCTTAACACAATTTCTTTCTGCCTGGGAGTATTTTCTAGTGCTTCTTCCATTTTAGTTGTCAATGTGTTTTCTTAAAAGAGCCCTCGCTGCTGCATATAAACTACTTCCTATTTTCTATGCTTTGTGCAGAGAGTGCTGTTTGTTTAATTTTGACAGATGAGAAGTATGGATAGAAATGGTCCCTGTCAGACTTTCCAAGAGCCTTCAGCTTTCAAGGACTATTCAGAAGGGGACTTGTGAGGTATCAACCACGAAGCGGTTTGAACAAGCTTGTCTATAGAGAAAAGAAATGCCATCAAAACTCAGTCCTCATAGTAGCTCATCCAGGGCTTCAGTGATGCTGCAATTCCTCTGGAATTCTAGACAGCTGAACAACACAAAAAAAGAGGCAAGGAAAGAAAACATTCTTTCAGCATCTTGGCAGCTTTCCCACTGACACTGGCAATCCAGTCAGGGGGACAAAGGACAGCCTCTGTGTACAGTGGGGCTAAAGAAATTCCATGTGTGTTTTACTGGGTCCCATCACTTTTGGGATGGATGGACTGTCTCTTGTTATGTATTTGTGCATTGCCTAGTACAATGGGGGAGTTGGGTGAGGGGAAGCCTGTCTTCCGTAGCCCCTCCCAGTCTCCATAATGCAAATAATAAATAAGATTTTTCCTGCACAAATGGGCTTGAATTCTCTGTAGCTGGAAGAACTTTCCAATTGGCTTAAGGATTTCATCAAATGCTATCAGAACTTGGATCTGTGGCCTTTAGCAAAACAAAACTTTTCAAGTACAATCCTGGAAATAAAAAGATTCATCCATACTAGCAAACAGGGGATTGTGCAGATTGATAGTGAGAACCGTAAAGAGGAATACATAAACTGGGGCCATGCAGACCTTTGTTGTTAGCAGAGATGAAAGACAGAGAGAGAAGGGAGAGAAAAGAGAGAGATGGGTACAGTATTGTGGGACTAGCAGAGACAAAGAGCCTGCAGTATAAACAATAAATGTTTGGTACTTTGAAATCTCTTAAGGAAAAGGACATAAAGAAATCTGTGTTTTTGTTAGAGGAAGGGCAAGAAAGAGAAAGCTGCATGCAGAATTACTCTGTGTGAGGAAGGAAGCTGCTTGCAGCAAATAGAATCTCCCTGGGGTTAGGAGGAATTCAAGGGGTAGAGATACCCTTGAGCTGGGGGGGCGAGGGAGAGCATTTGTGGGTGTTTGAATCCAGTCTGCTGTAGCCCACCCTGGTGTGAGTGTATAAATGTAATCCAGTCCCGGGGGTGGGAGGGAGAGGAGATCCAGGCTCCCTTTGTGCTGTGTGTAACCCAGACTACAACAGTCCCTCCTAGGTACGTGTGTGTGTGTGTATGAAATTCAGTGTCCATTTGCCCTCTCTTGGTGTGTACGTGTGGGGATCCGGCTCCAACAGCTCCTGCTAGCTGTGTGGTATTGGCGGAGGGGAAGCCTGTCTTCCATAGCCCCTCCCAGGTGTGTGTATATGAGGGGGGAAATCCAGTCTCCAGCAGCCCTTCTCTGGGGGAGGTAGTGGGGTGTGAGCATGTGTGGATTGTCTATTACTATGTGTACAGAGCCTAGTACAATGAAGCCCTGATCTCAGTTGAGCCCCTAGGTGCTGCTGTACTACAAATAATAAATAACATACATATTATTGTGGTACTGCTGTGCCAGTGTGCAACAGGAGTCAGGGGGTGGAGGTTGGTGCACTGGGAACTGCTATGCCCCCCCCTTTACACAGTAGAGTTTGGAGTAAAAATTGTCAGGATCCATTGACTCAGATTCCAAAGCCATAAGGGGCCCATTCTGATCATCTAGTGACTAGTCTGACCTCCCCTGTAACACAGGCCACAGACCCTGCCCAGAATAACTCCTTTTAAACTAGAGCATATCTTTCCAAAAACAATCTAATCATGATTTTAAAATTGCCAGTGATAATGAATCCACCACAACCCTTGGTAAATTGTTCTCATGGTTAATTACCCTCCCTGTTAAACATCCATGCTTGATTGCCAGTCTGAATTTGACTAGCTTTGGCTTCCAACCATTGGATCTTGCTAGGTAATAGATGTGCGTTTTTCCAGGGCTATGGGCCAGGCTGCATCAAGATCCATATTTTCCTAGCAAAGTAGGAGGGGCTAGACCCTGTTTTCTATTTAGTTTGTACATACTGGGGTTTGTGGCTAAACATTTTGAAGATCCAGCTGCCAGATATGTAGTTTGTTGGGTTGTTTGTGGCATTCATGCACTGGGCTACATCACAGTTTGGAATATTTTAGTACAGCAGGATCGGCTACACTTGTTTTGTACTCATACCATGCTCTTTGGGTGGCAAGGGCAAAAATTGTATGGCTCTAGCAGGAGTCATGTGCTGGGTCCTGAGTTTTGTGGTGCTGATGCACCAGGGTGTGCCAGGGTCCAGAGTTTCAGGGTAGTAGGAGTGGCTAGACTTGTTCTCTATTCAGGCATTTTAATTTGGCTGGCTCCAGAAAGATCCTGGTGTGACAGCTAATTTTGGGTGTGAGTGTGATCCAGTCTCCAGCTGCCCCTCTCTGGTGTGTATGTGAATGTGAACCAGGTGCTTGTAGCCCCTGTCTGGTGTGCGTGTGTGAGTGAATATATCTCCAGGCACCAGCAGCCCCTCTCTAGGGTGTGAGCGTCTGTCTGTCTGTCTCCAGCAGCCCCTCTCTGCTGAGAGTGTGTATGTGTGTCTGTCTGTCTCCAGCAGCCCCTGTGTGTGTGTGTGTGTGTGTGTGTGTGTATGTCTGTCTCCAGCAGCCCCTCTCTTTTGTGTGTGTGTCTCCAGCAGCCCCTCTCTGGCGCTGAAAGCGTTAAGGGAGGAGGGGAGAGATGCTGCTTGCGTCTGGCTCAGCTCCTTGGAGCCCACAGCGCCGGCTGCGCCTCGCTTCCCTCCTCCCTCTGCAGACACATCGAGACACAAAAAGAGGCTGGAGCGAGCTGGCAGAAAAGCAGCACCATGACCGAAACCACCAAGACCCACGTTATCCTGCTGTCCTGCGGCAGCTTCAACCCCATCACCAAGGGGCACATCCAGATGTTCGGTGAGTCCCCCCCCCCCCCCCGCTCCCCGCCCCTGTATTTTTCAGTGCGATTGAATTTGCTGGCGCCGGGCCATCAGGGAGGATGCTGGCTGCATCGGAGCCGGCCTGTTCTGCGGGGAGGCCACATGCCCGGGGCGCAGGGAAGCTGGATTGCACCAGCCCTGGGCCTGGGGCTAAGGTGGCCAGATAGCAAGGGTGAAAAATGGGGACACATTTTCAGGGGAGATAGTTGCCTATATAAGACAAAGCCCCTAATATCCAGACACCTGGTCACCCTACTTGGGCACCTAGCGAGCAGGGCTGCCCTACGTGGCTGGCTTGGCAGGGCTAGGACCATGGCAGAGGTCACTGGTGAGAGAGAGCCCAGGGCAGGATGGAGGTGCAATGGCTCGTTGTTAGGCATCCGTTCAGGCAAGGGGCCATCAGTGCCAGGGGCAGCCAGGCTCTGCCTGCCTAGGCTGAGGTTGGGTACTGCAGGGGCTTTGGGGATGGGGATCTTTTGTTAGTGGGATGGGCAGGGGGAGCAATCTGGTGTGTGTGTGTGGGGATCTCTCTGGGGGTGGGAGTGGGCAGGAGGAGATGTGGCATTGATTGATTCTTTAGGGGCTCGGTGTCAGTCAGATGAAGATTTCATGGCAGCACAGGATTTGGGGTGAGTGGGTGGATGGGGGGGTGTTCAAAGGCAGATGGGTGTTTGCTAGACTGGACGGGGCCTCAGGAGGAGAGGCGGCTGTTTGAGCTTGATGCCCGTGGAGGTTGGGTGGGTTATATGACTGGATGGGATCAGGTGGCAGCAGGAAGAGAGTGGGGCCCTGCCTGGCTCAGAGCTGGTGGCACTAGGCTGGGAGTGGGTTTCCCTGGCTATGTGGGATAAGTTGGCAGCAGGAAGGGAGGGAGCTTCGCTGCTGCGGGTCTAGGAGCACCGTGCCCAGGGTGGGTTCACTGCTTGCTGGCTGGTGTCAGAAGAGCGGTCAGCGGCTATTGTTTGGTGCCAGTAGGAGAGCAAGTGCCAGGTGTAGGTGAGAGATCAATGCTAAGGGCTGGGCGCTGTCCACGGGGAAGGTGCTGAAATGTCCTGCTTGCTAGTAAGAGCCTGATATGTGATATATTGAAGCACACTCAGTTTGGTGAGGGCCAGGAAGTGAGGGGACAAGGTCATGTTAGCTAGGAAGCCCTGGCATTTTTAAGGGCTGATTACACACGATTGTAGCTAAACATCTCAATGAGGGATTAATGAAACTGAACAAGTTCCTGCTACTGCTCTAGAGAAAAGGCCCATAATATTCCCAAAAGGACCTGAAGAAGAGCTCTGGGTAAGCACCAAAGCTTGTCTCTCTGACCAATAGAAGTCGATGCAATACAAGATATCACCTCACCCACCTTGTCTCCCTGAAGGGATAAACATGAGTGAAGTCAGGTTAATAGATGTGGGTACTATTCACAACCTATTTTAATTCAGTATAAATTGTGTGCATATATACAGCTAGAGATGAGTAAGAATCCACTAGATCTTCCTTTATTTACACAGGGCTCTATATACAACTCTGTTGTCCAAAAATCCTCCCCTAGACTTTAATTTGCCCCAAAGTTCTTAAATATGGGTCTGGAGAGATCTGCACACTCATACCCCCCCCCCCACACACACACACCCCATCACATTTAAATTAGAAACTGAGCAACATTCCCTTTGAAATGATCCACCTACCCACAAAACCGGATTGGATCTTATTTTAAACAACAACATTTAAGATAATGTGTAAAGAAATTCAAAGCAAAGCCATTGTGCGGGGCAGAAAAGTATTTTGAGAACTGTTTCTCTGCATGGTAAAGTGGTATCAAAGGGTGGGAACCAATGCTCAGGTTGTACCTACACAACAGACCATAATGAGAACCATTAAGTACTATTTTTCTATTCTTCTTGGTGCATCTTTTCAAGCTCTTGGAGTCTCCCATTTTAATTTCCCCTGATTCAGCACAACCAGAGACAAATACCAAACATGGCCTTACATGTGGCTAGGATGCCTTTTGGAGTGCGTCGTGCCACTTATTCTCTGGGGGATTCTCTCTCCTAGGAACTTATTCTCTGTGGCATTTTCATTTCCTATCTGTCTGGAAAATGTGAGACTGGACCAAGGTGTCAGCTCCAGCTCTTGTGTGTGATAGACCAGAATACTAAACAGAGAGCCAACTAAAATACTAAGTGCTAGAAGCCTGGGTGACAAAAAAAAAAAAAAAAGAATTAGAAACACTAATTTCTGAAAGGAATTTGATCTGATTTGTATTAGTGAAACCTGGTGGGAGATTCAGATGACTGAAATGTTGAAATCACTGGAAACTCCCGATTTAGAACAAAGAATGGACAGAAGGGGAGAGAGTGTATTACCTTCTTTAGGATTACTGACAGTTCGGAAGGACAGCACCTGAAATGCTTATGGATCAATGCACTAACTGATAAATCACAAGACAGGGTCCTGGGGAGAGGGGGCGGGTCTGCTATATACCATCGAATCAGAACAAGGAACAGAAAGAGCAGCTCCTTAATCATCTATCAATAATGTGTGGAAAGAAAAAGTGCAATATCATGGGGGATTTCAGTCTGATGGATATATGCTAGAGGTCTCATGCCAACGCTGGTAAAACATACTTGGAGTTTCTAAAAGTTATCAATAACTTTCTAATACACAAAATAATGCAACTAACTTAGTTGTTCAGTATTAGTCCTCATTCTGATGAGGAAAGATGAATTGATAACCAAACTAAAAACTGATTGTTGTGTAGGTGCAAGTGATCACAATTTAATTTCCTTTACTATGTGCAAACAGAATATAGTCCTCACCAATAATATACTTGGTACTTTTAAATGGCCAATTCCCCAAAGCTGAAAACAATTATGAGCAAAATTGGATGGGAGGAAATATTTAAACATAAAAATGTGAATAATTAGAAATTGTTTAAGAATGTTTTATTAAGTGAAAAACAAATACCCTCACACTGCTGCAGTCATAAACCAAAGATGAAATCAACAATAAATAAATATAGCAAATAGAAAAATGTGGACGCTGATAGTAATGAATACAAATTGGCAGTTAGTAAATGCAGGTGATTGATAAGGAAAGCTAAAAGCATCAGGTAATAAATCGGTGGCCAGTTTGATTAAAGGACAAGAAGAAGTTATTTAAATATATCAGGAACACATGAAATTCTAGTAATGGCATAACTCAAAAACTAGATCAAGATGGTAAAGTTATCAATCCTGGTCCAGAAAAGGCAGAAGTAGTCAATATTTCTGTTCTGCATTCAGAAAGAATCTTGAGGATGTATTCATATCTTACAATGATAAAGAAGTACTTTCTATTCCATCAGTAATTAGGAAGGATGCTAAACAGCAATTATTAAGGTTAAATGTTTTAAAATCAGGAGTGGATAACTTGCACCCAAAAATATTCTTTTAGAATTTGCTGAGGAGCGCTCAGAACTATTATAGCTGATTTTTAACAAATCTTGAATCACTGGGGAAGTTCCAGAGGACTGAAAAAAAGCAAATGTTGTGCCAATATTTTAAAAGGGTAAACAGGATGACCCTGGAAACTATAGTCTGACATCAGTCCTGAGCAAAATAATGGATAGGCTAACATCAGATGCAGTCAGCAAGGAATTAAAGGATGATAATATAACCAATGCTAATCAACATAGTTTTATGGAAAATAAACAAACTTGTTATGGTATTTGAATGAGATAAGTTTTGTTAATAAAGGTAACTGTGTTGACATAATGTACTTGGACTTCTGTATAGCATTTAGTCCTGCATGACGTTCTGATGAAAAAAATCAACATTTAAAAAAAAAGATCAATACATCCCATATTAAATGGATTAAAATCTGTTTAACTGATTGATCACAAAAAGCAATTGTAAATGGGAAATTGTCATCCAGTGGGGATGCTACTATCAGGGTCCCACAAGAATCTGTTCTTGGACGATTGCTATTCCACATCTTTATCAGTAACCTGGAAGAAAATATAAAATAATTGCTGGTACGATTTGCAGATTACCACTCCACCAATTTGTGTGTCATTAGTGATGGGACCAGGTCAGCTATGGTGAAGTGGGCTCATTTGAACAACATATGTTTTAGCACAGCAAAATGCAACGAAGAATGTAAGTCATATTTATAAGATGGGGGATTGTATCCTGGAAAACAGCAACTCTGAAAAGCATTTAGGGATCATGGTAGATAACCAGTTGGACATGGGCTCCCAGTGCAATGCTGTAGCTAAGAGAGCAATTGTGATCCTTGGATGTATAAGCAGGGGAATATCAAATAGCAGTAGAGAGGTGGTATACCTTATGTATATGGGATTATTGAGACTATCACTGGAATACTGTGTCCAATGCTGGTGTCCATACTTCAAAAAGGATGTTGAAAAATTGGGAAGGGTTCAGAAAAGAGCTACAAGAATGATATGAGGTGTGGAAAACATGCCTTCTAGTGAGAGACTAAATAAACTTAATTTATTTAGTTTATCCAAGAGAAAGTTAAGAGGTGACTTGATCAAGGTCTATGAGTACCCACACAGGGAAGAGATTGCTGCTAATAAAGGGCTCTTTAACAGAAAATGGTAGAATGAGATCCAGTGGTTGGAAACTGAAGCTTGACAAATTCAGACTAGAAATAATGCTCACATTTTAAAGTGAGGGGAATTAACCATTGGAACAACTTATATAGGGATGTGATGGATTCTCCTTCACTTGGAGTCTTTAAATCAAGACTTTCTAAAAGATATGCTATCGCTCAATCAGAAGTTACGGGCTTGGTACAAGAGTTATTGGGGGAGGCTCTTTGGTCTGTGTTATGTGGGAGGTTAGATCACATGGTCATATAGGTTCCTTCTGGCCTTAAAAATCTATGAATATATTATAAATTTGGACCCAATTCTGCAACCCTCACTTAACTATCAGCCCATACTTACCCCAGTAGGACTACTGGCATGAGTAAGGGCTG